TCATGGCAAAACTGCTCTAAGGTTCATATTTGTAGCCTATATTTATTTTCAATTTGAAAGTTTTGGGTAAATTATCAATAACAAAGTGTTTTTTTTTTTTTTTTTTAAGAGAGATAAATGCTGAACAAATGCATCATGTAACTAAAAAATAATCGTTTGAATAATCGTGATTTTAATATCAACCAAAATAATCGTGATAAAGATTTTTTCTACAACTGAGCAGCAACAGGTGGCGCCCAAGTTAGAGTCAGGTTTAGTCCATCCATAGTGAACAAAAAAAAACATGGTCTATTTTTTGGCTAAAAAGTTACAGAGTATGACTTTAAAATGGCATAACTCCCAATAATTTATCAAATATCTGACTGCTACTTTCTGAGCTGCCTTACTTGCATACAGTTTATTGAAAACACGATCTGTTATGTGGAGACCTTACACCTTTAAGCTTCAGTAACAGGACGTTTGCATAGCCAGCCTTCTAATCCCGTGCATGTGTTAAATAAGTACTATCAAGGTACTGCTTCACTGAACTACTCATCCTGGCTTATTTATTCAGTCAACTCCCCGAGCTGCTAATCCCCCTGTGCGAGCCTGTACTACACACAAAACACACATCTATGGCCAAACATGGCGGCGTGCACACGAGGCGTAGTCATTTACATAGCCCTGGTCTTCTGCTTAACGTCAAGGCACGACTTAATGAGCTGGAGGGCCGTATCCTTCCACCGAATGCAGCTTGTGGGGGCTTAATTAATATGATAGCAGCCTGGTTTATTTTAAATGTATATATCGACTTTTCAGAGCTTTTCAACGTGTTCTAGTCTCAGCATTTATGTACACACTCAGTCGTCCAGGTAGAATCCATGAAACCTGAGTTGTATTTGAAGAGATTCGTGTATGTTTGAATAATCCATAGTCGCTTATTTTAAAGGCTTCATTTTTCTGATCGACCCCAGTTTTCACCGCCACATGTACACGGACACTGCTCTGTACTAACTTTGTTATACTATTTTATTTTCTTAATCTGTGATATGTGTAGGATTCGTCAGTGTTATGTATTCATTTTGTTACAAATGCTAGTGTGCTCTGCAGCTATTTATAGGAAAGGACATCAACTTCACCATTCTTTGTTGTGATGATGTTTACGGCGACGTTAGCTCCCATTGGTACGGAAGCCGAGAGGGGTCACAACAAACGCAAACATCACAACAAATACAAATGCGACAACACAACAAAAAGCCACAACACAGCAAAAAAAGCCACAACGGAAATGACCGTGGGACTCTTTTTGTTGTGTTGTCGCATTTGTATTTGTTGTGGCGTTTGCATTTGTTGTGACCCCTCTCGGCTTCCGTACATTGGGCACCACAGTTTTTTAATGTGGAAGTCAGCTGACTTGTTTCTTTTATTAGGTTGTTTTAAAATTAATGTTGTTGAACTGCAGATTTTGTTGTTTTGTTGTCTTTTTCACTGACAAAATTTCTAAAACCTTTCGGCACCCTACATGTGTAGAATTGATCATACTTTTAGGGCTAAATATAAAATGTTATAGCCTGGTTCATCAGCCGATTTCACTGTGTAGAAACTGTCTAACCTCACAGTGTTAGGATTCATTTGCAGTCCTTTTTAAAATTTAACCAATCACTGCTATTTGGTCATGACGTATGTAATGCTCCGCTAACGGGGTTGACTAGTATATTAAGCTTTTCCCAAATCCCGTAGGAGGTGATAAAATTCCCCAAATATTGTCTTTATTCCGGCTTTAAATCCTCGATTTGGGGAGACGTTGACAACACAGAATGTATGGCTCTTTGCTGATTGGCTGGTTGGTGCCCAAACTTGCACTTCCGGGGTTTTTATGAACCGTCTAGTGTATTCCAATTCCTGACCTAATCGCTGGAGAGAAATGAAACTAAGTGGAGGCACGAGGTGGCACCAGCCTGGCTAGAAATGTTAACCCTTTCCTCTCAAGTTATGGTTTGGTATTATAGTTTTTAACATTCAAAATACTGTCAGTGCATTTATTGTCGTCTCTTTTAAACAAAATGTTTAGAAATCATCATAATAGTCTCATGGGAACTTAACAGAATGCTGTAGTTGTGTGAAAGAGCTTAAATGTACAGGATTTGCATGTTAATGAAACAAAACGCAACTCCGGGTCTGTTTGTGATGAGGATTATAACATAGATCAGAACAGAGTGTAATATGGGCGCTTCAAAGTCTCAAAGCACAACAGAAGTAAGTGTTTGAGGAGTTAATAATTCCTGATCGTTGCTGTCGTAGTCTAGGTTAAAGTTTTGCTACCTTATCCATAAAGGTGCATTTCTTTGCTCATTGAACAGTTACTTAACTTGAAGTTCGTTAGATTTTCTCAGATTAGGACTGTGGGAGTGTTTTATTTTTAGTCTATTTTTGTTTTGTTAAAGGTGCATTGTGTAACTTTTCAGATGCTTTTCTCCATGGTGATGTTATTGCTTTGACTGGAATGTTTCACAGTATGGCATTAACTAAACCTTTCTATCTTCATGAAGACCAAACGAGACCCAATGTACAGGTCAGATCTGTGGAGAGGCGACCAAGCTCACAGTCAGAATGCCTGTTTTTCTAGGTATTTTTGAGCTCTAAAACCACTTGTAATTGAATAAATGTAAGGTAGAGCTGTTTAATGTCATACTGTGGAACATTCCTGGCAGAGCAATGATCCATAGAAACAAGCAGGTGACAAACCCCTAATCAAAAAGTTACATAGTGCACCTTTAAGTATTAAAATCAATTAGAAAAGCTTTGGCGGAACACTGGAGGAGTGGCCACTGTCCAAACCAGTTTCTCGATTACTTTTCTTCTCTTTTCCTCGCACAAGTATCCATGCTGGGTAACAGGCCCGAAGACAAAGTGGATAACTGCGGCAGCCTTGTTTGAATAAGCACAGATGGAATTAGAGTGATATTTGAGAAGTGAAAATAGAATAACTGCAGTCTCTGTCAGCATTGCACCAGGTCCAAGAAAAGATGAGCCAAACGTTTAAAAGCTTGACACAAATTGTTCCAAATGCGAGCAAAGCTGACCAAAATATTTTCAATTCTGCTTTTACAATACAAGAAAAAACAATAAACAATACAGTGTGTGAGTGTCAATGTTTCTGTGCCTTTAGCAATTATTCCGCAAAAGTTGTTGTGCTAAACATCTTAAAAGGTCCATATTATGCAATTTTCAGATCTATGTTATAGCATTATTTCCTCATCAAAAACATATGTGGAGTTTTGTTTCATTCACACATGTTTAAGTCCAAACCCTGCATATTTAGGGTGAGTAAATAAAAGCTCAAACATGACTTTCTGGGCCAATTACAACCAGTAAGTAGACTTATTACATCCATTTTTATGCCCAACCAGGATATCGGCTGAACAGATATTTGGAAGCAAATATCAGATATCTAGCACATTTTTCAATAAAATTTTCTTAGTCGATTGTTGGGAATTAACAATTGATTTTTGGTTAATCATGAACGTTTTTATATTAAATTTATTTATTGTTACTATTACTAATCTGCATAAAGAAACTCAACTTTACAACATATAAACCATAACCACTTTAGAGCCACATCAGCCCGTTCGAGATTATAATGTGTTTAATGCAGCTTTGCGCAAATCTTACAGAAATTAAACTTAAAACCACATGGTTCATTTGCATAAACTATAAGCCCAAAAAAAAAACAGCTCTTTCCTTATGTGCTGATGCGGTTCAGCTTTTGTCGGACTAAAGGACATGACTCAGTGGAATATGAGTGTTCTTTCTGTGACAGAGGGATGATGATGATGATGGTGAGTCTGTTCTGTGTGTGTGTCGCGTTTGAGATGGTTCATGTCTTCAGAGATCAGACGTGTGCAGGTTTAGCACAGCTCTTTATTTAACATCATTTCACTCACTTTATTAATGTCAGTCACTTTATTTATTTTGGCTACTGTTGTGATGAAAAGATTTAAAAGTTTTTGTCTTTTGGACGCACGTGCACTCAACTTTATGATGCAGTAACCGGGGGGATACTGTGTTTACATGCACCATGACAAAACCAGGATACTCAAAAAACCCGATCATACCCTGGGCACTGATGTGAATGTAAACACATCACTGAGTGGTACAGTGATCTCCAAGGAGGTGCCAGAGCCCAAACGTAGGACTGTGAGGCCACAACTCCAGTGTTTACGTTGTCAGACGCAGCCTTGTCTCCTTACGCTACACACCGCAACCTAAATTCGGTTTGTTGATTAAAAATGAACGTGATCTGCAGCAATATCCAATCCCTAACCAGTACCACTGAATTAACAGAAAAGGCACTTATTTCCTTCAAACACAGTTAAATTATTACACAAGAGACCCAGTCTGTTATGTAACTGTCATTTATCCTTCAAGTAACTACTGAACAGCTTTGTATGAATAAAAGTTCAAACATTATGAGATCTCCTAGGACAAAATCAGTCTGTAAATAGCCTTATTATATCCACTGAAAGGGCCCAACCATAGTATCATATTATGGAACTGATACTCAACCCAGTTATTGTTTCAGTATCTGCACCAATATTGCATCCCAGGTCCAAATGAAGTAATGAACAGGTCTGTGGTGAGATGTACAACATGATTTTACATTTAGTTCATTGTAAAATCATGATTTACCAGAGTAGAAGAGTACTTTGTATAATATAAGTTCAGTCCACAAATACGAGAATAACTTTTACCATTACCAGGATATCAACAACATGCAGTAGGCAGCAAAACTGGGCAATGACTTAAAACGGACACATGATGAAAAGAAAGGAAAGAAACATCCACAGTGAACCCCCATGGGCCCCTAAACGCACTCCCCGATGTGCCGGCACCAATCAGCGTCCGCATCGACATCCCAGCATGCTTTGGGCCTGTTCATTACCAGTGTGTGTGTGTGTGTGTGTGTGTGTGTGTGTGTGTGTGTGCGTGTGTGTGTGGTGGGGGGGTGTTAGTGTACGTACCCTCTGCCTGGACGGTGAAAGGGGAATCGGACAGTCGCTTGCCAGAGAGCTCGCCCCCTAGAGACGTCATTAGGAAGAACAAGCTGAAGACGCCAGTGCCCAGTACAAAGAGCCTGTGGTGAGAGGAGAGAGGAGGTACAAATAAAGAAGGTTAGACCAGCAGGATTGATTTCAGCACTAGGGAAGTGGCTGTGACAGGTTGGGCTACTCATTTTACCATTTAAGATTATTCTATTTAAGATTTCACAAAAAAATGTTCAACTTTTTTCCAAATTCGGCAGTTTTTTACTTCCTACTACATCAGGCTAAGGAAGTCCATCACTGTTACCCAGCGAGCATCTTGTACACTGGACCAAAACTCCTGATTTGACAAATAAAAATATAAGAAAACAACTTTATTTTGATTAAATTATTATTATCAGTGTCAGAAAAAATGTGTTTCTTTTGTGTAAATTAACTTTTGGATTGAATTCTCTCTCGAGTGGAAACATATTTTTAAACTTTTCAACACAAATTTCTTGTTGATTGATGTAAAACTATAAGTTATATTTACAACAGGTATTATCCCAACAAATTAAGTTAAAATTACAGAATCATGAAAACATGTCATATGCACTTTAAGTATATTTTAGGTGTGTGTATTTTACTTAAAAGTGCACTGTGTAACTTTTTTGGTAGAGGCTCGACCACTTTGACTCCTGAAATGTTCTGAATCTACAGTATGGCATTTAATTTAACCCACTGACGCCGGATGCTGCACAGCGCAGCGCTGAGTCTTTTGTCGGTGTTCCGGATTGTCTGGCGATCAGCGTAACTGGTAAAGGCGGGGCCACACCTGGAAGCATGGGGGGCGTGTCCTCCTCTCGCTTGCATTCACTCCCATAGAGAGACGCAAAACTGCGGGAGCTGTACTGTCGCGTTAAACCTTCTTTATCGTGGCATATTATTTCTCCATTGAAAAATAATCCAAATGTATCCCACACATTTTCCCATCAAGACCTGGTTTGAAGTAACAAACGTTGCTCTTTACTGCCAGCACATGAACGCGCTCTACCACTTGTTCTGTTCGCTGCTCCAGACGCTCCTATAACAGGTGCCATATCGCTATGTCGTGTAACAAATAAACATGGTCAAACACATAAATGCTGACAGTGACACGGACAGTGAAGACTACGCTACGCACAGCAACCTACATTTAGTTTGTTGACTAAAAATGAATGTAATCGACAAAATTCAATTATCGATTAATCGACTAATCATGTCCATCCCTAACCAGGACTAAACCAGGACTGAGTGTCAGGACGGACTCGTAGATGCGCCCACGTAGACCATCGGGTGACCGCGGGAGAAAGGACCGGCGGAGAGCCTCACAGAGCTCAGCGCAGTCACCGCCTGATCGCACTTATCCTGTTCCATGGGCTCGGGGTTCTCTCTCTCTCTCTTAAGTCCAAGATTAGTCCTGGTTTAGACGTAGTTTAGACTCCACTAGAAATGTTATGACATGCACCTTTAACATAACGCTATACGTACAAAGGAGGAATAGTGTGTACGGTATGCAGTGGTGGAAGAAAACACACATATATACGATACTCAGAGTGCCTCAGATTTTTTTCTTAAGGGCCATTCACACCAAAGCGTCAAAAAATGCCTTGACGCCTCTATTTGGACGCCTTTGCATTTGAGTTTAGACGCCCCCGACGCGCGTCTTTGACGCCATGGACGAACGGGACAAAATACTTGATGCGCGTCCGTTGCCCTGGAAACAAGACAACAATGTCAGACCAGACTGATAGAGTGTTTTTATGACATAAAACATCAGCGGAGATCAGGTCGACAACTGGGGCGTATATATATTTATACTCAGCTAATGACACTGGATCAGTCCCGGTCTAGTCCTGGTCTAATACCGGTCTAGTTCTGGTCTAATCACGGTCTAGTCCCGGTCTAGTCGTGGTTTAATCTCAGTCTATTCAGGGTCTAGTCCTTGTTTAGTCTCGGTCTAGTCCTTGTTTAGTCCTCGGTCTAGTCCTGGTTTGGTCCCGGTCTAGTATTGGTCTACTCCCGGTCTAGTCCTTGTTTAGTCCCGGTGTAGTCCTGGTTTAGTCCTGGTCCAGTCCTGGTTTAGTCCTGGTCCGGTCCTGGTGTATTCCTCGTGATGATTGTGGCGTATATATTTATTCTCCGCTCATGTTTGTGTTTCTCGCTCTGGTTCTTGGGTCTTGCTTCCTGATAATAACGTCGCTGCGTCATTGGATACTCGTCCCTGATTGGTTGACGCGGCGCGTCTGACGCAAAAAGTTCAGCATTTTCAACTTCTTGACGCTGACGCCTTGGACGCGCGTCTAGACCGCTGACGCCAAAACGCCCAAGACGCGCCGTGTCGACGCCAGATTCGCGCCGCGTTGACGGCGAAAACGCGCCGCAAAAACGCAGGACGCTCTAGTCGCGCGTCCACATAGACTTTACATAGAAAGTGGACGCTTTGACGCCTTGGTGCGAACGGCCCTTTAGTCAACTCCAGGTATGTTTGTTATGAGGAAACAACATTATAACTTAGAGCAGACCTGTAATTTACACACGGGTTTGAAGATCCCTGTGCTAGCATGAAACACTATTTATACTTTGCGGCTGATGGCGTCTACATTCCCTGGGGATGGGGTGTGGTGCTAACTGTAAGCACTGCTCTGTTACTCAAATTAGACTTTAATCTGAGCTTTATTTGACCACAACGTGACCATAAAGAACAGACTGGAACTATAACAAATGAGCTCATTTCTGCTGTTAAACAAATCTCTCTCAAATAGCATGACAGTCACAAACTAGCTACCATTAGCTAACAGTTTTTCAGGACCGTGAACGCTTGTATTGATCACAAGCTCCCGTAAATGTGTTGTTTAAATCCATTTTGTGGTTTTTCTTGAGTTTTCAGGCAATTTTAAAAGTATTTGAAAGTGTTTGCTAATGTGTGCTTTGTGTTACCATAGTAACTCCTACACCCCCAGCCTAATGTCACTGCAATAGATGAACAGCCGACAAAAGAAAATCAAATTACCTTTTTTTTTTTTTTTTTTTTTTTTTTTTTTACTTATTAAACATTTGATATTGATTTACAACTCATTAATATTTCACACAGTTCTGAGGAAAAAAATCTAAATAAACTAAATCATTAGTTGTTAGAAATAGATGCATCCTGAATTTTGGACTTCTGGTCATCGCGCAATGCATACTCGGAAGGATCCTCCGAAAAAAGTGAGCATCAAATCGCCATGTTTGATTTCCCAGTGGGATGCGTTTATTGTCAAAGCCGATCTTTTCAAGTCTTTTGAACCATATCGTTTTTGTTTCTGGTTCTGATATCGTCATATTTTAGTTTTGGGATTCAGACATCGTAATTGTGTGGTTGCTGGATTTCCCAACAGCGGAAAACAGATCAAGAAATGGGCTTTGGAAGTTTGCAAACTGCATAACTGCAAAAGAGAATCAGATGTGTGTGACTGCAAACCCCCGTTCAAACTGTTTCACTTCCCCATGGAATAGAAAAATTGTGAAAGGCAAAGGCAATGGACAGTATTGATACACAGGAAGGATGAAAAAGGAAACCTCTGGCTGCCTAAGAAACATTTTGTATGTGGAGCGCCATCAAAGCAATATCCCGATCCCTCGCTCAACCTTGGTTACGAATTTAAAAGTCAACGCCAAAGCGAAAGGCACTAGGTGTTCGCCAAGAAAGACCTTCCACTGCAAAGCGACCGAGACGTGATGTTGCTGTAAAGTCGAACAACAAAGTGCGAGCTCCGCCTGTTTGTCTTCTGTCTCTCGATTAACAAACGGGATTTTGCTTTGTTGGCGCTCCACATACAAAATGTTCGCTGCAAACTCGGAATGATTTCTTGCGCAGCCAAATGTTTCCTTTTTTGTCCTTCCTGTGGATCAATACTGCCCATCGCCTTCGCCTTTCACTAGTTTTCAATTCCGTTGGGAAGAGAAACAGTTTGAACGGAGGTTTGCAGTCACACAGATCTGATTCCCTTTTGCAGTTATGGAGTTCGCAAACTTCTGAAGCCTGTTTTTCAAGCTGTTTTCCGCTGTTAGGACATCCAACAACCACACAATTGCGATGTCCGAATCTCGTAACTAAAATATGACAATATCAGAACCAGAAACAAAAGCAATATGGATCAAAAGGCTTTGACAATAGACGCATCCCACTGGGAAATCAAATATGACGATTCGATGCTCACTTTTTCGGAGGATCCTTACCAGTATGTATTGTGCAATGACCGGAAGTCCGAAATTTGGGATGGATGTATTGGTGATTTTCAGACTGAAGAATGTGATTATGTCTTACTCCCACTTGAGGGGCAAGAGACAATTCTTTCCTACTGACTACATTGTACTTTGCCATGAAATATCTAAAAGGTGAATTCACAAATGTTGAACCTGATCATTTCTGTTACTGACTAGACCCAAGAACTCACTGTATTACAACAAAAATCAACACTTTAAATCTATTACTTGTAGCTGCCACCCATTTGTATTTAATATTATTTGCCTACAGAATGTTATGACATAATCTGAAACCCAAAAATAAGAGTTACAGCTGAGGGTTTTAAATACACTAGCTTTCAACTTCATCTTTTTTGACTTCCTAAAATCCAAATGCCATCTAAAAGACAATGACTAGAATATTGCCAATGGTGGAAATGGTCTCTATTTTAAAGGTTCGATATTACACAGAACTAACTCTTGTCATGTTGTTACCGCCTCAAAAATATACCTGCAGTTGTGTTTTGTTTGAGTAACCCTACAGTTTTAGTCTGTAAGTAAGTGAGTGAGACTTTATTTATAGAGCACCTTTCACAGATAAAAAAAAAAAAATCACAAGTGCTTTACAGAGTGCATTAAATGACCTGTAAAAAAACAAGTCTGTCTACATCTCTGGAAGCTCAAAATGCTCTGGTCCGTCTTGTGATGTAATGAAGTGGTAGTTTTCTGCTTTTAATTCTATTCTGAGGTAAAGTCAGTGACAGGAAGAATACTTTGAAAATTTATTTAGGTACAGGATTCTGAATACCTGCATTAAAATTTATTCTGAATACTTAAAATATTCGTATGGTGTGGTGTGCTTCTTATTTGTACAGGGACAGTGCACAACAAAGCATTAACCAAGACAGAAGTCAGAGGAAAGATGCTGTTGCCAGGTTATAGTGTGGAGCCTAATTTACACTTTTAGTCCCTGAGCAGGTTGGTGGAAATAACACTGAGGTGCACATAAATGACAGTGTACAGAGGCAAAATAGAATTAAAAACAGCCTTTTCGTTGTGACATTGCTTGTTATTAGGGATGTAACAATAACCAAAAGTTCTCACAATAATATCGTGGACCCTCACAATATATCAAATTACAAGTCTCTTTGCTTAAATTAAGAGTTACGGTGCAGCAACAGCTTAAAAAAAGACAGAGAACTACATAGACCATGATCCTTTGCTCCATTTCAGTGCAGACTACAAGAACAAATAACAGCTCTAAGCACTTTTAAGTCTTTGTTCTTTAAATTAAGTCTTGTCAAGGCTATTATTGTATATATATTGTTATTGTTGTATTATTGGTTATTGTTACATCCCTAATCGTGAGCTTCCCCACGGTATCGCAATAAATATCGTACCGTGAGGTTCATACCGTGACGATATCATATCGTGAGACTTGGATATCGTTACTCCCCTAATTGTTATGAATTTCCTATCACTGATTAGAGAAAGAGAATGACACATGCACATGTTATAAGAGCGATGTTTTTGATTTTTCTCACAAATTCTGTGCAGTTTGAAGCCTAAACTGTGTGATCAGTATTCCTTTGATTTTAAAGAACTGTATTCTAAGTTCCACCAAATGAAAAAATAACTGTACCAGAGTATATTCTGAATACATATTCTCTGTACATGCATTCAGTAATTTCCCAGCGCTGGTGGAGGTGGAGGTGGAACAGGGGATTTTGAGCTTTGGAGATGTACACAGACTAATAATAATAAAGGATTACTCAAACATGTGTGAATGAAACAAACTCCAGGTATGTTTTTGACAAGGTAAGAACATTATAACATGACTTAAAGCTCACAATAATCAAATTTGTGTAATATAGGACCTTTATTGCCTTACGTGGAATGCTGCATTAATTTTCATTAGGGCTGTAACAAATACAAGTCTCACGATACGATATGATCACTGTATGAACCTCATGGTACAATATTTATTGCGATATCGTAGGAAAGCTCATGATTAGGGATGTAATAATATCCAAATCTCTCTGTATATTTTCACGTCATACATCTCTATGGTTGTGGATATTTTGTGGAGGCTAAAGAAACTGTGAATATGCTACTTTTTCCTCTTAAAATGCTTTGACAAGACTTAATCCAAAGATTTAAGACTTAAAAAACTGTTGAGAAAAGGATCATGGTCTATGTAGTCCCCTGTCTTTTTTTTTTTTTTTTAACTATTGCTGCACCATAACTTTTAATTCAAGCAAAGATAGTTGTAATTCGATATATTGTGATGGTCCACGATATTATTGCGAGAACTTTGACGATACAATATCACGATATTTCAGTTACTGTCACATCCCTAATCTTCATAGTAGCAGCCCACACTAGAAAAGGAAAGTTACATTCTGCACCTTTAATACTGAGATGGAGATGTTTTGTTTTTTGTTTTTTTTGTTTGCTTAGTTCTTTTTTTTTTTTTTTTTTTAGTTCTTTTTTTTTTTTTTTTGGTCTGCATCCTTAAATGATTTACGGTTTATGGCTAGTACGTACATAATTAGCTACTGGACCACGTGGCTTTCAACCAAAACACGAAGTAACAACACGTTTTTGCTGTAAATCAATACATCTATTAAGTTTGGTTAAATGGACGTCAGTATATGTAAAAAGGTGGCATTTTATTTATTTATTTATTTAATTATTTAATTTAATCAACTGAACAAGCTTCTTAGTTTAGTTCAGGAGACTTTAAAGCACAATCCAATATCGCGAGTTTCTGGACCCATTTCCAAACAAATATTAGATGACACAATTAAAAATATTACCTCACTCACAACACAAGGTAATTTAAGTTTCAGTCTGGTAAAATCTCACCTGAAGGGTTTGAAAGTGAGCAGACTTCTCCTCAGCATCATGGAAATCTCGCCGTTGCTGCTGGTCGCATTGGTCATTTTGTACTGGGAGGAAAATCGTCCCTCCTCATCATCTCTGCGCCACTCCTCTTTCTTTTAACCCTAACCCCCAACAACTCCGTTAACATAACTTTCAACCCAATCCAACCGGTACCGCCGCAGACCCGAGAGAAATTAAAGACAGGAACCCCCAACTTCCCGCGCTCACTGCCCGCAATTTATGTCCACATGTCCGGGGAACTTGTGCGTAAAATCCCGCCCGATCTCGCGGCTGCGTCTCTGCGCGCTTGGAGCAATTACGCGCAGATGCAAAAGTCCAAGAGTAAAAAAATAAAAAATAAAAAAACACGTGTGGAATGGTTTTCTTGGTGCCAGAGGATGTGTTGGCATGTGCCCGTGTGCTGTTACGAGCGGAATGAGCAGCAGACCCGGGAAGCGGCGTCCTCCTCATTTTATACAGTGAGAAAAGCGTTGGATCGATTACCGACACACAGCGCCATCTAGCGACGCAGGGGGAAATAGAAAAAATAAACGATTGTCGGTTTAAAAAAAAGGGAACTGAAGTTTTAAATGTGTGAACTAAAGTGGAGGACAACAGCTCCTAAAATGGATAGTAACAATAATAGTTATAATAATAATGATAATAATAATAATAAGGTTCCCTAAAAATATTTTTGGATTGTTTGCTTGTCATTATATAGCCTGTCATTTATCATCTAGGCCTAAATAAATAAATACATACATAAATAAAATACAAAAAAAAAAAGTAAATTAAAATATAAAAAATAAATAGTTTAAATGTCATGTTCTGTTATTTCATGTATTCTTCATTATATTACTTGATACGATAGTGACAAAAACAGAATAAATACAGTGCCTGTGGATAAACTTTTACTGTGCCTATTAGTCCTGGTCTAGGCCTGGTCTAGTCCTGGTTTAGTCCTCATCTTGTTCTGGTTTAGTCCTGGTCTAGTCCTGTTTTAGTCCTTATCTAGTTCTGGTTTAGTCCTGGTCTAGTCCGGGTTTAGTCCTTGTTTAGTCCTGGTTTAGTGTTCATTTAGTGCTGGTTTTGTTCTGTTCTAGTCCTGGTCTAGTCCTAATCTAGTCCTGGTTTAGTATTGGACTAGTCCTGGTCTAGTCCTGGTCTAGTCCTGGTCTAGTCTCGTCTAGTCCTCATCTAGTCCTGGTTTAGTCCTCATCTAGTTCTGGTTTAGTCCTTGTCTAGTTCTGATCTAGTCCTGGTCTCCTCCTGGTTTGGTCCACATCTAGTTCTAGTTTAGTCCTGGATTAGTCCTGTTTTAGTCCTTATCTAGTTCTGGTTTAGTCCTGGTCTAGTCCAGGTTTAGTCCTTGTTTAGTCCTGGTTTAGTGTTCATTTAGTGCTGGTTTTGTTCTGTTCTAGTCCTGGTCTAGTCCTAATCTAGTCCTGGTTTAGTATTGGACTAGTCCTGGTCTAGTCCTGGTCTAGTCCTCATCTAGTCCTGGTTTAGTCCTCATCTAGTTCTGGTTTAGTCCTTGTCTAGTTCTGATCTAGTCCTGGTCTCCTCCTGGTTTGGTCCACATCTAGTTCTAGTTTAGTCCTGGATTAGCCCTGGGTTAGACCTGATCTAGTTTTAGTGTAGCTCTGGTCTAGTCCTGATTTAGTCATCTAGTCCTAGTTTAGTCCTGGTCTTGTCCTAGTTTAGTCTTGGTCTAGAACTGGTTTAGCATTTGCCTATTTCTTGTCTAGATCTGGTTTAGTCCTGGCCTAGTCCTGGCTTTGTCCAGTTTTAGTCCTAGTCTAGTCCTGGTCTAGACCGCATATAGTTCTGGTCTTGTCCTGGATTAGTCCTGATCTAGTCCTGATCTAGCCCTGGTCTATTTCTGATCTACCCCTGGTCTAGTCCTGGTCTAGTCCTGTGATGTGTGCTTATGTGAAAAGTGGAAAGACTTATTTTCAGGACCACGGGCAGCGCCGAAGAAATTTGATCAGCTCAACATCTACATCTAGTGGTGACAATTTAGACTACACTTATGTATTATTTTTTTTTAAAAAACAAAAAAAAACGCACGTCTTTTGGGATAGTCCACTAAATAAAATAGGTTACCCCATTACAAATCTACACAAATAGCCAAATATTTCAAAAGTGTTATTGCAAAAACATAGCTCATAAGAATAAAGGATACTCAATTACAAACTGTTCCATCTGAAAATGGCTTATTATCATTTATTTATTTTTTATTCACTTTTTGTTTTTGTTTTACCTGTGTAGGAGTTTTCAAAGCAAGTTAAAAAACAGGATACTAAAAACTACAGTGAAGCAACAACAGCATCCACCGTTGCTACAGAAGCAATATCGACTATTTCTGAGTTGTTTTTTGGCAGTGAGCGTGACGGAGGGATGTGCTGTGGATTGTCCCGAGAGACCCTCAGCAATAAATAAATCTCTTAATGCATACACAGACTGCAATAAAGCGTGTTAATAAGTTAGTATTTGGACCTATCGAAAAATGGAATCAGATTTTCCTCATGTTACATACAGTGACCATTTATGGGGTTCACTTTCCTGTTTTAAAGCAACATTTTGAGGACTGTTTCTCATTCAGAATTTAAAATATGTAGTTTTAAATTGGCAACGTTCATACTTTTTCATCAGTTCAAAGACCATGAATACACAAGACACAACTTTTAGCTCTGTCATAGCTTGTCATATGAACCACTCTAAAAATGAAAAGGAGGTCTTCCATATTACTACTATCAATCAATCAATCAAACTTTATTTATAAAGCGCTTTTCATACAAAAACGTAACACAAAGTGCTTTACAGTGATTAAAAACAATCCCGCATTTCCATCCACCCACCCACTTATCCAACCCCACACCTGCCCAACTCCACACAACCAAACAACCCAGATACGCACACCCACTCGCACACACACGCACACACACACACACGCACACACGCCCTAAGATAGTAAAATACATAAAATCCCCTATAGTAAAATGTGAGGCTGAATACAGGCGAACCAGTTGAGAAAGCACCATCAGAGGAGCCGTCTACATCAGGAGCAGAGAGTCGTCCACCACCACCAGGAACCACCACAGGGTCCAGGGGAGAGATGAAGCCCAAGCACCAACTCTCCACCAGGAGCCCACGGGACAGAACCCGGCAGCCACAGCCGACCTCCGCTCCCGATGCAGAGGCTCCTACAGAGGAAACACTGGAAATCCTAAAAAATATGCCTAAAATAAATAAATATACTAAAATGTGTACAATAGAAACAGGTAAAAGTATAAGAATTTAAGAATTTACTACTATATTTATATGACTTGACTTTGCCCTGACAAAGACCATCTTGCTGGTCGAAACACGTTGGCGTCCCTTCATGTAATAAAGGACTTTTAATATATTCAGTCGGAGTGCCTCGGGTTTGTACCTTACCCATTCTTATATTTTCCAGTAAGGGTAATTCTCTGCTCAAAGACCACTGTTTTAACCCTTGTAGAGCACCTGTACTGCTATTTTTTACTCTTTTAAGACCCAATGAAGCGCTCTATCTTTTTTTCTTCACCTGACTATATTTATATATTTGTATTTATATAATGTAGTAAGTAGACTTAGTTTAGTTCAGGCCTTATTCCCTTATCTCACCACATCAAAACTACAACTAAACTGGGAACAAATCCAAAATTAAACATGGACTAGAGCAGGACTAAACAAGGTCTATAAAAGGATCAAATCAAAGCCTTAAAACCGCCTAAGACCCGAACTCTTGCATGACACGCTTTATTGATTTCTCTTTGTTATTTGGGCTAATTGGGACCTGAGGAGTTCAAAAATGAAGAATTATGTTTTTTATAATATTTTTATATATTTATATTTACATGTCCACATGTGATATATAAAACATTTTATGTTTTACTCATTTTGATGGAACAAAATTCACAATTGAATAATGATTTGCAAAAAACTAGGAGGCAACAGGCACTGTAGACCTACCGTTTAACTCTCTTAAAAACATTAAAGTTATTGCCCAAATATGCATGAATCATTCCAAATACAACTTCTGGTGAGTAAATGAGAAGGGGAAACAACTATAACATGGTGAAAAGTTGATTTTGCATAACAGATCTGCTTTAAGTCCTGGTTTAGTCCTGGTTCTGGTTTAGTCCTAGTCTGTGGCGGAAGAAATACTCGATTTTGTTACTTAAGTAAAATTACAGATTCTCGAGGAAAAAAATACTTAAGTAACAGTATCACATGAAAAAAGCATTAAAGTACCCTTTAAAAAAATTACTTAAAGGGTGAGAAGTAAGTATTTTGCACACCATCAAATGTAGTGATTTACTGTTTACGTTTCAGTCCTGTTCAAAAAGTACAGATCGTGTCTCTCAAATGAAGTAAAAGTAAAAAGCACCCACTTTAAAATGTACTTAAGCAAAGTACAGAGTCCTAAAATGTATTCTTAAGTAAAATACTTAACTACTTTTACTTGGTTTCGTTCCACCACAGGTCCTCCTCCTCCAGTTTTGCTCGGTCATATTGACAGCATAGCCTCATATTTGTGTTCTTCACCATGGACACAACTGTACTAAAAGTCATACATTATCTATTATTCATTTTTTTATCCAGAATTCCTGTTTGAAGCTGACCTCCCTGCTCCTGCATTATTCATAAGGCTCCATGGAGGTTTTTGTTTTTGTTCTCTGGTTCAATATGGCTCTGTTTTGCATGTGTCTCTAGTATCTACATGCGGTCGTCCTCCCACTATTTGGATTGTTCTCCCCAAGCCAAGTTAGCTCCACTGCACATCTGCAAAGGATACGTAGCGCCCAAGGACAAAAAGTTATTGTTGTTTTTCTCCTTCCTCTATTTTAATATGAGAAATAAAAAATGATCAAAAGAATGAATGTTTTATTTTGTGAACACAAAAATATGCACATGAATAAAGGGCAGGCACAATACGCTCAAGCTTCAGCCTTCAACTTTTTCGGACTCTGTGGAATAATGTCAGAACATACCT